AGTTAAAATGCAGTGGGCACTTTTTTTTGTCACTGTTCTTTTTTACACCCATTTTGATTTTTTTTTCTTCGAGTCAGTCTCTTCTTTTTATCTGGTATTCTATAAGTGAAACTTAAAAAGAATATAAAGAATAAGATATAAAAAATACTACAGTGTATTTACTTTAATTTGAACCAAATAAATGAGAGAAATTCAAAAAATGATGGGGTGGGCACTTTATTTTGCCTATCAGTGTACATGCAGTCCAAAATATGGTAAAATAAAGTTAAAAAGTACCACATAGCCACAGCAAAACGCTTAATTTATCTTTGTTCATATTTATCCAGAACAACAAAGCCATGCTAGAAAAATTATAATTTAAAAAGTTCATGAAAAACAAACGTTATAGGGGTAGCCATCGATAATGGTCCATATCTCCAACACTATTAGACATATAAATATGTTATCTTAAACGAAATTTCATATAAGTGTAAGTGCTATAAATCAGCCCAAGAAAGGGTCCTTATATTACTTTAAGGTAAAAAATTTATTTTTTCTTCATGGAAGGTATGACATTTTTTAGATTTTCGAATTATGGGCAATGCTTATGTGAGAAACTCCTATGAGGACAGTTCTTTTATTAAGTCAATAGTTTATACACAATACAAGTCGTGATTTTGCCATATCCGACCACTGTGCATACGACGGAAAGCTTCAAATGCCCATCATTCAAAAATGCGATCGCAGGCCAACAGTAATGGAGGTAACCCTAATAAACCTCAATTATTGCGACACTGCACAGCAACCGTTGTGGCAGTCAACAACGAAAACAAAGTGCGACATTACAATCATTGTGGAACCGTATTGAGTCCCTCCCAAAAACGGTAACTTGGTGGCGGATAGAGAAGGGATGGCTGCAATACAAGCAGATACCTTATTTAGGAAATGGTTGTGATCGCCAAAATTTACGAAATCTTCATTTGGAGTTGCTACGCACCAAAAAGATGGACGATTGAGTAGTTCCATCAAATGCTGGATTGACTTACCGATGAGCTAATCGTACGAAGATTGGTAGTGATCGGAGGAGACTTCAATGCTTGGGTAGTGGAGTGGGTAAGCAGAAGAACCAACGCAAGAGGGTTCAGCCTACTGAAAGCTCTGGCAAAGCTGGAAGTTAGGCTGTCCAACGAAGGTACCATCAGCACATTTGCAGAGACGGCTGGGAATCTATTATCGACGACACTTTCTGCAGTCCTTCACTGGTGGCAACCAATAATTGGAGAGTAAGCGAGGTTTATACTCGAGCGTTTATAGCGACATTAGTAAGGAAACTGGACGGTGCTCTGCTTACTTGTGGAACGAGGCACTCAGCACCCTCCACGCTAGTTGTCTCAGAGCCAGAAGATGTGTTCAGAGAGCAAGAGCAGAAGCAGAAAAAGAGGAGCGTAGAAGAACGTTTGAGCGGCCATGGGCGCACTTAAACGAGAGATAAATCAGAGTAATTCAAACTGTTTTAGGTGCTGTGCCGAGACGCTGATGTAAACCCTTGGGGCGACGCATACCATGTCGTTATGGCGAAGATCCGAGGTCTAAGGACGCCCGATGAAATGTGCCCAGAGAAACTTAAAGTCATCGTGGAAGGACTATTCCCGATGCACCCAACAACCTAGTCACCTTCTCCAAACGGTGAGGAAGAGGGAAATAACGTCAAAGTCACCAACGAGCAACTCTTCCGGTTCAGATGGAATCCCCAACGTGGCGTTGAAAACAGCGATCCAGACATCCCCGGACATGTTCAGGATGCTGCTGCAAAAAATCCTGGGCGAGGGTCAATTCCCTGACAGGTGGAACATACAGAAGCTAGTGTTGATCAACGACTGGCTAAACTTCACTTCATGCCGGACAACTCTGGGCCAAGCAGTAGCAAGAGGCCAGAAGACCTGACTAGTGTGTCCTGGTGTCCGTCAATTCTGAGGTACGGAGGTTCGATCTGGATTTCAGCGCTGAAAACCAAGCAGAACCACAGGAATCTGAGCAGTGATTACAGAATTATCTCGTTATCGCTGGAATGATCCCTATCGTTTCGAGACGAAGACAGTTGGGATGCCGTCAGTAGAGCTGTCACGCAGATTATGTCGTAACTGCAGCGTTAATGGAGAGAAGAGCAGCGATCTAGCAAAGCGCTGAAAATATGAGAGCTGCATAAGCAGAACCTATGATTCACATACATGTCCACTTAAAAAAAAAACTATATACCCAAGTATTCGACCTCCACCAACCCATGGTGAAAGCCTTGGACCACATTATGCAACCAAGTGCTTTTTCATACAAGCGTGCATTCGAAAAACTTTTCGTTTCAACAATGAGGCCCTTGGACTCTAACCTTTCAAATTGGTTCCAATAGTTTCAGCGGATATCTGTGGATGAAGTAAGCAGAATCATTTTAATCAAGCACATGTTTTGAAGTTTTTCAACAGTTTCTCCAAAATGAGTGCATATAACCAAAAGTTAAGATTTGTATGCACCACATAATGAAAAAAATAAATTTCGCATGCATTTCATTATATGCGGGAGGCGCATATAATCAAGAATGCCTTGGTACGGCCTATTGTGCGTGCGAGTGTGATACTTTTTTTTTATAACAATAGAAGTCGCAATCAAGATTATTCTTGTAGTGTCTAGTTCATTTATGTATGACTTTGATTATACGTGGAGTGCGTACGAGTAGAACAAAGGGGTAAGCTAGAAGAGCGTTATCAGTGATTAAATAAAGCATTTCCGAAAACATGACGCTGCAAAGTCACTTGGCCATTCGGCTGAGATCTTTCCATTTTATCTATTTACATTCCTTTTTTATTACTGATTTATCAAATGCTCTATATTGACGAGTAAAGTTTCCTAATCATTCACCCTCCTACTAACACAACTTGTCCCTTTCTGTAACATCTATGAAGGTAGTATGGGTTCCCTGCACCTTCTTAAGTAGATGTTAGATTAACTTTCCCTCCCTTCACCTGCGATTGTAAGGATGTGGCCAGGTGTATAATGCGATGCATGTTTTGTAGATTTTATTAGTGGTCACAATAATATGTTTAAATCGGAATTATTGAAAAATTGTTGATATTTAATGACCGGATTTGTTATAGTCAAACAAGTGATTGCAAAATCAAGAGAAGCAAAAGAAAATACCTACTTATTAAAATTTCGGTTTTGGAGCACACGGATATCACAACCCCTTTTAGCTTCATCCCTGTATTTGGCACAAATGGGCAGTCTATATTTGAAGGTATTGTCTGGAATCAGCTAACAAGTATGATACACTCGCTTTTTCTCGTTCACTTCTCTGAACCTATTATCTGTCCAAATGTCGGACAGCTTGTTATGGTGTCGGTCGGTGAGCAGTCGACAGAATTTCACAGAGACAAAGAATGAAGCCGCCTCTGAGGATGGTGGTTTGTGCCGAGTGCTTGGGGTGGTGGAAATTGAAATGGAATTAGACTAATTTGATAATTGATGTGCTATTATTCAAATCACTTAATCAGGTGATTACAGTGCTATCCACTTAAAGTGGTCGTATGGAATTTCAAAAGTGTCAAAAGAAGCCCGAGGAGCTCTGTGAGGAATGTTTGACTGCTTCTTCCCTGAGACAAATTTCAAAACGGCAGCAAATGAGCAAGCTGAGCTCTGAGCGCGGTGGCACAAGACAGCCAGCGGAGGAGCGAAAAATAACGACTGTATAATCGAAGATAATTACACATAAATTTCAGTTTGCCTGACGTTTCCCTCGTCGTGCGGGTGATTAATGTATTTGAAGAGTATCTCAGTTGGCCGTGCGCACCGGGAATCATCCAAGCTAACGAGATGTGTTTGCGTGTGTATGTGTGTGTGTGCGTGTGAGTGTGATTCGGCGCACCACCTCCATGTTGCAGACTGAGCGCACTGGCTTTCGAAAGCCATCCACATCCCGCATGCAATCGGAAGGAAGGGACGGAAAACGTTCAACCAAGTAAAATTTATTATTTCTTGTCTCATTCTCGTTTTATGCTGTGCTCTGAACCGGAGCACCCAACGGTGTAAGCAAGCTACCTCAATAACGACAAACGGCGACACATGACACTGTGGGCTTCATAGAGATTTATGCCAGCGGCGGAGAACGAAGCAGAGATACTCAAGGTGGAAAGACAACCCAGAGACAAAGTGGAAAACAAATGTGCGAAACGGAAACGGCAACAGAAAAAGCGGAATTTATTCCGACAACATGACAAACAACGTTGGACAGCGGCGACGCCATTTGCTCGACATGGGGTGCTAATTGAAAGACTCGGTAATTAACTAATAAATTACAAAAACGAGAAATAACTTGAATTTTACTCATTTGGTTTTCTTTTCTTTATAAAATCATTTATTTCTTTTTCTTTATTTCTTTACGTACACTTAAAGGTAATTAATGGAGCTTTTTGCGGCTTTCTTCTTGAGTTTATGTACCTTTTTTTGTTTCTATAATTTCCGAGTTGGCTGTACATCTTGTTCTTTGTGTTGATTTTGCAATGAAAAAATCACTACAGTCTTTAACTCTTGCGTTTATGTGTCAATTTAGGTGTAAACGGATTGAAGTTTTAACAAGCAAAAATAAACAAATCAGACTAAAAACTACAATGTTTGGCAATTGTTTTGTAACTGAAACAATAAATTATTCACCCAATGGTTACTGTTTAAATGAGAATCTAATTTGCGGCTAAGAACTTTCTCACAAACTAAAAGCACAAAATGCCGACGGGTTCAGTTCTACAGCAGCATTATTTCAATTATGCTAGAAAAGTAGCTTGGATACCATGGTTAAAAACTAGTTTTAAGAAACTTCTTCGTTTTGATCTATTTGGTTGAGTTTCAGTTCACATCTGTCGCAAAACAATCTTGAAACCAGTTTTACAACCACGATTAAGTATACACATTTTAGACATTTTAGTCTCACTACAGTTCTTTTTTTTTCCTTCCAGCATTTATCCTTTTTGCAATAAAGAATAAAGTTAATATCACAGATTCATAGAAAATAACACCTGGGCATTCTTCGAATGGAAAGTAGTGCTTTTACTGGTGAACTGCTGCTCCCATTCGTTGGCTGTACAAGGCAGCTGCGTACGGTGAATAGTACTGCCCAAATGCAGCAGGGTTGAAAGCCGCTCCATACGGTGACCCAGAAAGCCCCGCTGGAAGCGCCCCAGGTTTAGCGTACGGATGATATCTGGCAGCTGAAAGTGGACTCAGAGGAGGATTTGGATATCCTCGGTGTAGTGATGACGGTGGAAAAATGCCACTCAATGGCATCAATTGTTGCTGTAAGGCTAATGCCGCCGGATCCGATAGGTTAGCTGTGTGAGTTCTCAGGTGAGACAGTAGTTCGTCTGTGGTATTGAAGCGTTTACCGCAGTACGAATCTCCCATAACCCAGTTACACATGTAGGGACGACCAGGTTGCGTAGCAGCGGGTGGATAAGGATATCCTGGCGGTAGTGTTCCCATAGCCATGGCTAGACTGTATTTCTGATGGTCACACTGACTGCAACCTGCTGGACATTGTCCACCCATCATCATTTGATGATTATGCGCTGAGAACTGACATCCTGTGCAGTAAGGATCCTTGCAGATTGGTACCAAGGTTTCACCACCAGATGGAGTTTTGACCCTTGTGTAGCTCAGGTAAGGATTGGCACCAGCAGCTGCGGCTCCAGGATATGCCGCCGCTAACATTGCAGCATGGTGATGAGTGAAGGCTCCAGCGAAAGGAGGCCTGAACGCCGGATTCGTATGATCAATCCCCGACGGTGATGGTAATCCAGTAAGTGGGTTTATTCCGTAAGCACTAGGTTTGTATCCCGACATATCTTTTCCAGCTTGCATAACTTCGGCACCCGGTCGTATGATAGGGCTAGCAGTTGTTTTGTCACGGTCATTCGGGGAACTTGTCTTTCTACTGCTACCCTCGGGTGTACATTTACCATTTTCACTCATTTCACTGTTCTTAACACTTCCAGCACGAGGCGATTCAGCACTTCCGCGAGATGAAGAGCGCATATCTTTCTTCACATCATTATTATTAGCATGATTCACACTGTTGTTGTTCATTATATCACTTCCACTACTCATTTTAGACGAAGGACGATCGTCATTCTTCACTTTTGTGGTAAGCACATTCATTTCGTATGGTTTGAACGCCAATTTGATCTCAGGAGAGGAATCCGACTTTTCTGTTTTCACCGACGGGGATCTCGAGTTGTTAGAGTGTCCTCCGTTTTCAACCGAGCCGGCCGATGAAACTGAAGACGAAGACGAAGATGATGATTTTTTGTTCTTTTCCGATGGAGAAACCAGCGATTTGACGGTTATGTTCCCAGAATCAGCACCGATCTGGCTGCAGGTTTGTGCCAGCAGTGCCAGTGGGCTCTTCTTTGCATCCAACTGTACCAAAGTGTAAGAAAATGAAATTAGTTAGTAAGAAATACATTTTGTTTCAAATAAGGAAGCTATATAGAATAATATCAATCGTAATTTTGAAACATACCGAGGTTGGCAGCGGTGACATGTAATCCGGCTGCAGATACTGATTATTTCCAATTTGTAACATTGCTGCTCCTTCTAGTATGACCATTTGTTGAGGTACTCCAATATTTCTGAATTCTTTTGTAACCACTTTGTTCTTATTTTTCCTTGTTCATTCAATTCACAAATAGTAATCCACAGTTCTATTATTATCCTTTGATTGTAGATATCACTTTTCCGCTTTCCCACACACTGGTAAGCTTTTCGGAGATAACTCTCCTGCACCACACGATTCCGCAGCTGACAATAGCTTCCACTATCTTCATTCAAACAGTATTCATGTAATGTTGTTTACCTCTTCCTTCAGCATTAACCACATAGAGGAAACATCTACTCTCTGACAATCTCAAATGACTTTACGCTCTGAGCTCTAGGCAAGAGCTGTTTACGGCCCGAAAGACAAACTCAAACTGAAAACTGGATATCATGAAACGATTTATGGCTACGACGAGCGAATACACATTTTCATCATGGTTTCCATCTCGACTGAGCCGTCGGCCAATCGCAACGCTAGGAAGCATGCGCCCCTCTTTACACACACAAGTAGCAAAGAGAGGAGAGAGATTTTTTCATTTCATTCACGCACATGGCACTCAAGTATGCTTGTCTGTCTCACTCAGAACGAGTTTTATTTTATTTCTTACTTCCTCTGCCCATTAACTTCACACTTAATGGTGTTGAGCAAACTCGTTATGCTGGCTCGCTGAATTGAGCATAAAGGTGTATTCAGATCTAAGCGTACATTAGCGGAACGGAGCAAAATGTGCGTTCGAATGAGAGAGACAACTTGTACTTTTCTCCCTCTCGTACCTTCGCAAAATCTCTCTCCGCGCGTGAAATATCGCTCAGATCTGAATACACCTTAAGAGCATAACAAGTAAACCATTAAAAGAGCAATTTTCTCAGAAAACAACCGCTCTCCTTGTTGATGTTTATGCTGAGAGAAGAACATTGGACTCACACTGTTTAAATGTGCTCATCGAGTGGAGTGGGGATTCAGTGTTGCGCGACTAAATGAATGGAAAGGTATGACTATAATATTAGTATTTAGAGACTAAACACCACAAACATAAAAAAAAACTGCAAATACCAGGCCGTTCCTGGTATACCTAATTAAACGATTCAACCTAATTAAACGATTCATTGACGAGCCCAAACCACCGAAACCGAAAACATTAATTACATTTGAATCCATATAATCTGGCAACATTGTTAACTTAAGAGTAGCAGCTGATTACTCCCATTTCCATTCACATCGATTCAGTGTTTCTCCGCCGCGGTACTTCTTCGGTTATGTTTATCTTCATTGGTTTGCCACCCAAGATGATATGAAACCACGAGAATAAACCGCCTTATAGCTCTCCAACCACAGCACGGTTGTCATCATCGCACTCGGCATTGTCGGTGATGGCGGGTGGTGATGATGATGTTGTTGATGTTGATGGCAGCCAAATCGTTCCTTTTAGCTGGCCCGACCAAAGTTGACGCGGCGTTCGCTCTTTTGACGCGACCGCTACTGCTGCTGCTGCTTCTGCTAACACACCACGACGAGCTGGCATAGCTACAACCGTACCATGACACACTTGTATGTTCGTCGTTCGTTGCGGGAAACCACTTCAGGGGTAAACAACGAGCTGAATGGTTCATCTGTCTGGTGACGGCTGCTTGGCTTATAACCGCGGCACAAAGGCAGACGGCGCTGATGATGGAAGGCGGTGGTACGTTATAGGGGAAACGCTCCTATAGTTGCGGTACGTTAGAAGCGTTAGGTTCCTATAGTTGTGTATGGAGACGCAATACACAACTATAGGAAACTAACGCTTCTAACGTACCGCAACTATAGGAGCGTTTACCCTAGCAGTAGATCATAACTCAGGCACCTCATTTTGTCATTTTCTCTAAGTTTACCAATCTTTCCTCACATCCTCACAACGACTACAAGTGTTGATTTTTTTTCCAATCACTTAACCATTTCTAGCTATGCCAGTAAAAGATAAATGAGATATAGAAGAGTCAACAAAAGAAAAAGAAATCAAGGAAAATCAACAAATTTGAAATGACCCGGAATATTCTATAATGCCGGCGGTAGAATTAAATAAAGACATCTAGTGAAAACCGCTTTTATATACGTTATACGTAGTGTCGGAAGTAGTGCACAATGACGCGCTATAATGCGCACTACTCCGACACTATGTATAACGTACCGAACGAGAGTAAAATCGATTTTCGATAGTAGGTTTTTTTTTGTTTTCACCTGTGACAACAATATTGAAATACTTCTCCGCACACATTTTTATATGGTATTGAGAGACATTTTTTTTCTTGTTAGTTTAACGCAGTAGAGTTATTTCAGAACATTGATTCGTCTATATATTGAATAATATATGTCTGATGAATCAGAATGCGAGCATGCCACTGTTAGATATAAATCTATATTCAGTATACATTATTTTTAAAACCTATTTTTGTTTGATAATTTCAATGTTTGATTAAATTCGTTAAGAAATAGAAAAATGGAAATTTTAGGTCAAATTATAGTATACTCACATGAGTATTTTTCTAGTTGATAAAAATTAGTGCATAAACTTGCTAATGTCGCCCATTATATTCAAATCAATTCTCCTAGGTGCTAATAGATACAAGAAAAGTAATGCAAGTATTAAAATGTATATTCTGCATTGAAAAACCGTTTGGAAACAATACCAGTTAAAAATCTTTGCGTACAACCTTTTTTCTGATTGTAGTTAATGTAATTAAATTGAATTATTCTTGTGCAATAATTGCAACTCACTCACCCCTCGACTTCAATCAAATGCATGTTGGTTGACTATTCTGACGTTTGGTGGTGTGTCGAACATGAAGTTTCTGTCTCCTGAGTGATGTATGGAAAATTGAAGAGTGAACTATATGGTTAGCCGGTGCCAGTGGTGAAGTGGTAAGCGTGACTGCTTTCTCACCCCAATGGGTCTGAGTTCAATCCCAGTCGAGGTCAGTGGGATTTTTCTGAGGCTTTAAAATCTCCCTTCGGAAGGGAAGTAAAGCCGTTGGTCCCGGCCCATGTGTGTTTGAATGGGTGCGATAATCTAAGCAGGTGTGGAAGCTGCCTTCCTGCACATTCGATTCCAGTGTATTTACGTATGTAACTTAAATTCATGCTTAAGGAAACTACATGTTACCAATTTATCAGTGATGGTATAATCATTGGAAAATTGCATTTTCTTACTTTCATATACACTTTCAATATCATGCGTGATATTGAAACAAAATATCATGCTTCAAAATTTATTCCGTTCCGTCACACAGTTATTGCTGCTAGTGGTGATTGAAGCCTCGGGGCGCGTTTTGGTGTAAAGCAAAAATCTTGAACTCAAACTCACCACTGTTTGGTGATAATCGTAGCTTTTGTTTGCTTTAAATTTGTAGCAATGACATCACAGCTTATACATTTTTTCGCTGTTGTTTGTTTGCTGATATAGGGGAAAAGTTGGCTTCGGCAATACCTTAACCTATTATCGTCGGGGTAAACAAAGTCCTAGAGCATTCAAATTTGACCAATAGTTGCTCTGAAACACAATGTATCCACATGCCAAAATTGAGCACTCAAGGACGTTGTATGACGATAATAGGTTAAGGTATTGCCGAAGCCAACTTTTTCCCTATGTCCACAAAAATCAAGCGTGATAGAACGACATAAGATTTTTTGAAATATATTCTCAACACTGCAATTTAACTGACGCCGGTAAGGTAGTGGTAAGCGTGACTGCTTTCTCATCCCAATGGGTATGAGTTCAATCCCAGCCGAGGTCAGTGGGATTTTTCTGAGGCATAAAAAACTCTGGTGACGTCTTCCTTCAGAAGGGAAGCAAAGCCGTTGGTCCCGCCCCATGTGTGTTGTTGAATGGGTACGATATCTTACGCAGGTGTGGAAGCTACCTTCCTGCACATTCAATTGCCGTCAATGTAATCGATGTCCGTCGGTGATTGGCACTAGATTGCGGAACAGAGACCGACGTTAAATAAAGGAAAAAAGAAAACAACACTGTTATTTATTTTAAATCTTGACAATTATCACTTTTTGTTTAATCAAGATAAATAAATGTTTCTACATTATATAAACAATCAAAAAAATTGTATGATTATTGTAGGTCATTATGAGGATTCAAGACCGCATTGGCCACGATCTGATATTGTTTATTGCACTCTTGATTAATCAAAGAAGGAAATGGGCTAGTACGACTGAAAATCTCCTTTAAAGAGCAAATAATAATAATAATAATAATAATAATAATCTGGCTTAAAGGGTGATACGGTCAAAATTTGGTCAATATCAACTTGACGTATTTCTTTCAATTTTGCATTTAAAAAACCTGAACACCCCTCATTTTGAAGGCGTGTGTGTGTAGAATGTTGCTCCTATTTTGATTTTGGAATTCACTCTTCAGTTGTCAAAATGCCGTCCAAGCAAGAAGAGCAGCGTAACAAAATTTTGCTCGCGCATCGCGAAAATCCGAGCAAAGTTGGCAAAATCGCTAAAAGTTGCCAAATCAACCGTTACAAATGTAATTAAAGTGTTTGGGGAACGTTTGTCGACAGCCAGGAAGTCTGGATCGGGGGGAAATCGAAAACCGGAAGCCGCTGAGACGACAAAGAGAGTTGCCGGTAGTTTCAAGCGAAACCCTAACCTCTCTCTCCGAGATGCCGCAAATAAGCTGGGTGTATCGTCTACAACCGTGCATCGAGCCAAAAAACGAGCCGGACTATCGACTTACAAGAAGGTAGTGACTCCAAATCGCGATGATAAACAAAATACGACGGCCAAAGCGCGATCCCGGAGGCTGTACACGACGATGCTGACGAAGTTTGACTGCGTGGTAATGGACGACGAAACCTACGTCAAAGCCGACTACAAGCAGCTTCCGGGACAGGAGTTTTATACGGCAAAAGGAAGGGGAAAGGTAGCAGATGTTTTCAAGCACATGAAACTGTCAAAGTTCGCAAAGAAATATCTGATTTGGCAAGCCATCTGTACCTGTGGCTTGAAAAGCAGCATTTTCATAGCTTTCGGGACTGTCAACCAAGAAATTTACGTGAAAGAGTGTTTGAATAAACGTCTGCTGCCTTTCCTGAAGAAACACGGTTGTTCCGTACTGTTTTGGCCGGATTTGGCATCTTGCCATTACGGTAAAAAGGCCATGGAGTGGTACGCCGCCAACAACGTGCAGGTGGTTCCCAAGGACAAGAACCCTCCCAACACGCCAGAGCTCCGCCCAATTGAGAAATACTGGGCTATTGTCAAGCGGAACCTAAAGAAGACCAAAAAACTGCTAAGGGCGAGCAGCAGTTCAAGGCAAACTGGCTTTCTGCGGCGAAGAAGGTGGACAAGGTGGCTGTACAAAATCTGATGGCAGGGGTCAAGCGTAAGGCCCGGCAATTCGGATTTGG